AATTTCGGTTAACGAACTGCCTTCCATAAGGATCTTCAATTCGGTTAACGAAGAAAAATTCGGTTAACGAATTTCTTACGAACCGACCTCAACATGTTTTCGCTTGCACTGGCCGGGCAACCAGCTTTAGTATCAGTCCGCCAATACATTAATCGGTTCTAGGGCTTAAATTCCTAACTATTTTAGTAAATATCAAGAAGTTTATACTATTCAATAATTTTAAAAGTTTAATATTCAATTTTTTAGTCATTTTAACAATTATTGAACATAATTGAAGGTAAAGTGACTAGTTTAATGCGCGGCATCCAGCCTCTTAACACAGCAAACAGGCGTTAGTCTCTCTCTGTTTTCACTGGAGGTAACATCTTGCTTGAGACTCTCTTCAACTAAATGCTTTTTTCTGTGTTTCCAAGCAAATTATTGATCATTTTGAAAAATATTTTACATATTGACAATATATAATGCAGTACAGTGTTGATTTAAAGAAAATAATCTTGAAATACACCAAGAGAACTAAAATTTTAGGGGTGAAATGGTACCATGGGGTGACTTCTCTTCCACCCCAATGCCTTCTCTTCTTCCTTCTCCTCCACCCCCATTGTAATTCCCATCATCATCATCATCATCCAGGAGCCTTCTACATACACACCTCAAAGTAAGTGAACTTTTCTACCATTTTTGTTGAATTTAGGAAATTTTCGGTGAGCTGGAACCAATTACCCAAAAACCATTGAAACAATGGTTTCGGTTAACGAACGACCTTCTGGAACGGATTGAGTTCGTTAACCGAGGGGTCACTGTACTACAGACGGGCAAGGGGTGACCTAATTGAGGTGTATAAGCATCTCAAGGGGCACTACTCAGTCATGTGTCCTTACTTGGAGCTGGCGGACATTCGCCCCACAAGGGGTCACAGCTCAAGATTGAAGAAGCAGCAGCAAGTCCAGAAAATTGTGAGGGCAAACTTTTTTGGAATGAGAGTTGTGAACTCTTGGAACAATCTACCAGAAAGTGTTGTGATGGCACCGAGTGTGAGCTCTTTCAAGACCAAACTTGAACAACACTGGAGCGGGTTCAGGTACATTCAGGAGCCGGTGCATGCCCAGTACTTGCCAATAGTGCGTAACAGAGACGTGACCGATCGCCCAAGCGGTTAACGAATTACCTTCCATAAGAATCTTCAATTCGGTTAACAAACAAAAATTCGATTCACGATAACCTTCGAAAATCACGTTTTGTTGAGCAACAGCTGGGCAGCTAATGGACTGATCTGCCAATTCAGTAATCTGTTCTATGTTTACATTTGTTTCCAGTGGAGTAAATATCAAGAAAGTTGTGCTCTTAAATATTTTTGCATTTTTTATATTAAAATTATTAGTCATTTTAACATTTATTTAACATATTGATAATATATGCAGTACAGGGAACTAGTTAGTTGTGCACCCATCAGACGCGTGAGTCGGCCACCAGGCTCAGTCTGCCTTTGTTTACTGTTGAGAGCATCTATTTTGTTGGTGTCTTGAATATTTATGCATTTTTTCATTGAAATTATTGGTCATTCTGAAGTTTAGCCAGCATATTGATAATATATAGCACAGTGCAGTGTTGATTTAAATAAAATAATCTTGAATTACACCTAGTGAACTTAAAATTTTATTGGTGAAAATACTGGATCCAGCATGGGTCCCCTGAGAGGTGATTTCTCCTCCATCCCCAGTTCCTTCTCCTCTCCCTTCTCCAACCCACTTCTAATTCCCATCATCATCATCATCAACCAGGAGCCTTCTACATACACATCTCAAAGTAAGTGTACTTTACTGCATTTTTTTTACTTTGTATGTACTTTTCGGTGAGCTGGAACCATTTACCCAATATCCCATTGAAACAATGGTTTCGGTGAACGAAATTTTTGGTCAACGAACGACCTTCTGGAACGAATTGTGTTCGTTAACCGAGGTACCACTGTTCAGTATATATATACAGTGACCCCTCCGTTAACGAACTCAATCCGTTCCAGAAGGTCGTTCGTTAATCGAAACCATTGTTTCAATGGGTTTTTGGGTAATTGGTTCCAGCTCACCGAAAATTTCCTAAATTCAACAAAAATGGTAGAAAAGTTCACTTACTTTGAGGTGTGTATATAGAAGGCTCCTGGATGATGATGATAATGGGATTTAGAATGGGGGTGAAGGAGAAGGAAGAAGAGAAGGCATTGGGGTGGAAGAGAAGTCACCCCATGGCGCCATTTCACCCATAAAATTTTAGCTCTCTTGGTGTAATTCAAGATTATTTTCTTTAAATCAACACAGCACTGCATTATATATTGTCAATATGTAAAATAGATTTCAAAATGACCAATAATTTGCTTGGAAACACAGAAAAAAAGCGTTTAGTTGAAGAGAGTCTCAAGCAAGATGTTACCTCCAGTGAAAACAGAGAGACTAACTCCTGTTTGCTGTGTTAAGAGGCTGAATGCCGCGCATTAAACTAGTCACTTTACCTTCAATTATGTTCAATAATTGTTAAAATGACTAAAATTTGAATATTAAACTTTTAAAATTACTGAATAGTATAAACTTCTTGATATTTACTAAAATAGTAAGGAATTTAAGCCCTAGAACCGATTAATGTATTGGCGGACTGATACTAAAGCTGGTTGCCCGGTCAGTGCAAGTGAAAACATGTTGAGGTCGGTTCGTAAGAACTTCGTTAATTGAATTTTTTTTCGTTAACCGAATTGAAGATCCTTATGGAAGGCAGTTCGTTAATCGAAATTACGTTAACCGAGGTGTTCGTTAAACGAGGGGTCACTGTATATATATATTGATAAAATCACACCGACTTACGACGGGGTTAGGGACCGACATCCAGGTCGTAAGTTAGAAATGCTTAAATAATACATAGAAAATCAAAAATAGGCGTCTCTTTTTCTTCTCAGCACCACAAAACACTCACTTTTAAGCTTGCTAGCCATTTTAAAGTGAATTACAGATGAAAATTTTGTCTGTGTACTTACTTTGGGACTCGAAAATACGTAATTTGACCAAATTTTGGTACAACTGAGGCAGTATTTTTTATTTTTGTATTAGCCCACCTGGGCATAGATCACTGACCCACATCGGGGCCTGGGGTGAAAATATAATAAAAATTATAATAATAATAATAATAATAATTCATAGGTCTAGGTCACATTTCTCACTTTTGATCTTTTTTTTATTCTTGTATTTCTTTATAATTATTATTAGTATTAGTATTTTATTACAGTATTAATGTTATTATTATTATTGTTATCATTATTATTTTATTTTGGTGTACAGTATTTTAATTAAAAATCTTATTTACTATGAATAATTATTATTACTATTACATTTTCACCTACCAAGCCCCGATGTGAGTCAGTGATCTATGCCAGGGTGGGCTAATCCCTATAAAAAAAAAAAACAATAAATAAATAAATAAAAAAAATAGTGCCCCACAAAAAACTTTAGGTTTTCGGATAAAGGGTTGTCACCTAAGAGGCACAGGTGGTCCCTATCTGCGGTTCACGGCGCCATAAGCTCGTTGAACAGGCTTTGTGTGAAATATAACAAAGTCTAGGACTGCTTTTAGTGTCCTGGTGGCCCAGAGGTAGCGTTCCCCGGTCACAATTATAAGGTCGTGGGTTCGAATCCTGGCGGGGTGAGGTGTTGATTATATGTAGAAGTCTGCGTGCTTTATTGGGCTAATGAAATATATATATATATATATATATATATATATATATATATATATATATATATATATATATATATATATATATATATATATATATATATATATATATATATATATATATATATGTACACACACAATCAACACCTCAACCCGCCAGGATTCAACCCACGCCCATGAGCCTATGACTGTGACCGGGGAACGCTAACCACTGGACCACCAGGATACTAAAAGTAGTCCTAGACTTTGTTAAATTTCACACAAAGCCTGTTCAACGAGCTTATGGCGCTGTGAACCTCTAATGGGGACTACCCGTATATATGGATCCTCGTGTTTCGAAGCCGGATTTGGTAAAAACGTTACTCTGACCACCTACGTGATACGGGTAGTCCCCATTAGAGGTTCACAGCGCCATAAGCTCGTTGAACAGGCTTTGTGTGAAATATAACAAAGTCTAGGACTACTTTTAGTATCCTGGTGGTCCAGTGGTTAGCGTTCCCCGGTCACAGTCATAGGCTCGTGGGCCGTGGGTTCGAATCCTGGCGGGTTGAGGTGTTGATTGTGTGTGTACATATATATATATATATATATATTTCATTTTTAGTCCATATAACACGCGGACTTTGAACATATAATCAACGACCTCACCAGCAAGGAATCGAACCCTCGACCTAGTGGGTGTGACTAGGGAACGCTTACCGGCTAGGCCACAAGGACACTAAAAGCAGTTCTAGACTCTGTTATATTTCACACAAAGCCTGTTCATCGAGCTGATGGCGCCGTGAACCTTGTCCGTGTCCTTGTGGCCTAGCCGGTAAGCGTTCCCTAGTCACACCCAGTAGGTCGAGGGTTCGATTCCTTGCTGGTGAGGTCGTTGATTATATATATATATATATATATATATATATATATATATATATATATATATATATATATATATATATATATATATATATATATATATATATATAGACAGTGCACAATCAAAATTTGCCTGTGCATAATACTTATGAATTATGATTAATTGTACTTTTTGCAAAGAAATTATACTTAAACAATCTTATCCAGTTATGTGAGTTTGTGGAGAGCTATCTAACCTTTGTTTGCAGCGATCAGAAAAAATTAGCCAAATTGATAGAAACCCTAAATATTGTCTTCACTAAAAACACCACTTACTATTTAATTTCTGTACAAGTAATAACCAGCATATTCCCAACATTGCTTTATATGTTACAAGCCATAATCCTTGCTTCAATAAGTTAAAATGGAGTAACAAGTAATATTCCATCTAGAAAGTACTTAAATTTATTGTGATCTGTACAATCAGAACAGTCACAGAAGTTAATTCTTACCTTAAAAAAAAAATAAATAAAAATGAATTTACAGTAATTATACATCCCGTGAATTACTGGATAAAAATACAGGATACAAAAAAAAAGCAACAAAATATCAATACAAGTAATAAAGAACCTAATGCCTTGCCAGCAAGTGATTTTATATCAATTCTCAAAGAACTTCATGCATGTTACTCTGGATCTGGTTTATGCAAAAAGTCAGCAGGAGTGTCTTGGAGAATGAGAGCAACTGCAAAATAGGCTCCCCAAGGTCCATAAATATGCATCACTACATGCATCTAACTTGCTGCATCAAAAATTAGTCTGAAGTCAACAACTAGAAGTGGCAACTATATTGTATTGTCAAAACAAAGGAATGCCTTGGCAAGAGCCAAGAATGCCTGAATGTGTAGTTTTATAACAATATATAGTTATACTTAGTTTAAGTGTACAACAGGCCACTGTGCTGTCTTAGCCATTTAATCCTAGATGTGTAATACACTTAACAACCAATTTGGCTGGACAACACTGTGGTAAGTGGTACTTATTTTTTTGCGTACATAGAGGGGGTTAAAAAAGGGGCAGATTGGCGGGGCATCATATGTAAGCTCTGCAGCTACCAAGGATTAGCATCATGCCACCTTATGGAATCCCACTGGTTGCCATTTTAGCTTACAGTGTGTGAAAACTATATTACATACAGTATAAGTTAATTTCACACATTCTATTATGACATCATAAGAAGTGTCTCCCTTACAAAGCAATATAGTTCTGAAAGGCCTAGGAATTTTTGTAGTCTATTAACACTTTCACAATAAGTTCAAATCACTGGGCAAGTTCAATGTCACAATACACAATCCCACACAATACATTCTCTTTCATGTTAATAACCTACACAAATTTAACACTGCAATTAAAGCCAGTAAACAACTTTCACTTCAAAAAATGCACGTTAAACAGTTGCTGAATGACCAAAACCATTGCTTCAGTCGTAGACGAGGACATTGTAGGCCCAGGCAATCCTACAGATGCAAGGCAGAGGATGGGGGCCGGGGTTCATGGTCCTCAAATGTACAACACAGTGCAGGAATAAAAAGCCTCAACCAAAAGTATGCAGGTCCAACTGTGCATATCAACATCATCTGCCAAAGTAAAAGAGATTAATACTGTAGTGTCTTATTTATTCTTAGAGAATGCATTAGCTAGGTAAACCATCCAATACAAAATATTCTCTGATTAAAAAAAATAAAAGTTTAAGGTTTTGTTTTTCTGAACCCCTTCAGTAATTATTTCACCTTACAATCAACATAAATTCTAATCCAAGCTACTCTTGTTTATCAAATGTGTCCTACATTCACCCAAGTGCACTCATAATTTCATAAACAGATTATTTGGGTATAATCCTTAAACTAATGGAGGCTGTCTCATGTGATCATCACTTATTGTTCTCTAACTTTACAGGCACTATATTACAAGCTTAAACCTTTTGTCTTCTACCATAACTAGGATTTACATATCCAAGTCAAAAGTTTACATATACTTTAGTATTTTCGCAACAACCAATAATCATCTGTTCTCTATGGTGTTATATAACTATGTAATCAAAATATACAATGCTTATTTAACTAACTAGAGGATGAGAAACCATAAAAGTACATAATTAAACTGTACAGAGAAGCACCCAGTGGAGGTGCTGTAGCATTAGAGCACATAAGCCTACAGAATTCTGTTAATGTGCTTTGTTGCTTTTAAGTAATAACAAAGTGTGTAATTTCTGTAAGGAAATTACTAAAATTATAGATTTAATTCCATCATAAATAAATCTATCCATCACAATGCTATTTCTCTTCAAAAATTGTAGACACTGAAACAATGTGTAATAACATGGTGGAGATGGGCAGTGACAATGCTATGCCATGATCAGTTTATGAATTAATGCACTCATACATTTCATCTAATCGAGTAATTATGATGTCTTTAGCAAATTTACTATATCCATAATAAGTATCAATGAGGCTGCTTCCTTTTATGAAAAAAAAAAAAAAAAATCAGAATAATGAAACTAATAAAATTGTTACAACAAGAAAACTATGTATGAATAGAACAATGTACTCAAAACTGGGTATTCAAATTGAATGCAATGTCTTAGCCTATTCTGAAAATAAAATAAGGCAGAATAAACTACAAAAGGAGCAGTAAATGTGATGCTTGTGCCACAATGAGCAAATGAACAAAATGCTCAACACTTCTGGCATTATCTGGCATCAACTTGAAGGTCTGGTAGGTATGACGCAATGGTTTTTAAAAAGTAATCCTCTCAGATTTGTCTTTGCATCGTAAGTGCTTTTCATGTTGTTCTCACATGATTTATAGTGAAAACTGCATCCATGAGCTGTAAGCCAATCACATACGACCTACAGCTACCACCAAGTTTGAAACAATGCTTCTTGTCCGATCAGTGAAGTTAAGCAACGTTAGTTGTGGTTAGTACTTGGATGGGTGACCGCTTGGCCCTAAGAACACCAGATGTTGCTGTCATAAGGACTCTACTGGAAACAAGCCTCTCATGGTTTTGTCAGCTGTCCTTGGTCAAATAGAATGACACAATTATTATTATTACAAGTACTGTACTGTAGATGCCAAATACTGTCAGTGCCCAGGAGTTTTGGCTCTAACTATGAACATTACATAGGAACAGAATGCTTGCATAGATGATACATGCAGGATAATCATTTATGAAATCAAGTCTGTTAAATGTCAAATAATGGCATAACCAGAAGTACCTTAAACACCCATAGAAGTCTCTCACTTATGCTCTATATTTGGGATTTTGTTGATGCTGGATAATCTACTTTTTTGTAGTTTTAAAGTTGTTTTTAATATTTGAACTTAAAACAGTGACAGAAAAAATGAGGCATATCAATAAACTTTGATGTTTTCTTGGTAATAGTTTCATTTTCACTTATAAGACTTGTTTGTTACCTTCTAATTAAGTATGAATCTGCCCCCAAAATTAAAATTTAATACATCATAATGCATTAACTTCAAATTACCCCTTTTGAATCACTGACAGTTGGACAAATCTCACCCGCAGTCGTGACCAAAATTTTTTTCAAATGACGCGCGCATTTTCTATACTGAAACGTTTCCGTCCCGAGCGTGGCTGGCTTGGGTCACCGCGTGGTTACACTCACTCAGTACAGCGCTTAGTTGGTGTTTGGCTATCGTATCCTATACTGATCGCGCTGTGTACTTACGTTATTATCGTATTTAACTGACTTTATAATGACTGGAAAGCGTACAAGTGAGAGTGCTGGTGGTGCTCCGAAGAAAAGGAGATAGGCAATTATTTTTGAGATGAAAATGAAGATAATAATGCAATAAGATAATGGAAAAACTGTAGCAACAATCTCACGCGACCTAGGTTTCTCGCACTCGACCATATCCACTATTCTGAAGGACAAGGAACGTATTCGTGATGTACTAGTGAAAGGAACAACACCTATAAAGGCAACTATAATTTCAAAGAAAAATTATTAGTGATATGGATAGAAGACCAAATACAGAAGCGTGTACCCTTAAGCCTTCTAACCTTGCAGGATAAAGCAAGAAGCCTGTTCCAAAGCCTGAAGGAGCAGGCAGGAGATGAATGTGAGCAAACCTTTACAACAAGTCATGGGTGGTTTAATAGATTTAAAAAATGCTACAGTTTACACAATGTTAAGGTGAGTGGAGAGGCAGCTAGTGCTGATGTTGGTGCTGCCGAAGCTTTTAAGGAGGAGTTAGATGATGTGAATGTGGAAGGAAATTATTTAAGCGCATGCCTGAGCGGACATACATCCACAGAGGCAAAAACAATGCCAGGATTCAAGGCATTCAAGGACAGAATTACACTTCTGTTGGGGGGGAATGTTGCTGGTTTCAAGCTAAAGCCCTTCATGATCTATCATTCAGAGAACCCTAGGGCTTTTAAACATGTCAGCAAGCACACACTGCCAGTATTTTATCGCAGTAACACGAAAGCCTGGATGACCTTTGTACTGTTTGAGGATTGGTTCATGAATTGTTTCATTCCACGAGCCAAGGAGTATTGTCTGCAACAACGGATTCCATTCAAGATTTTGCTGATTTTGCATAATGCTCCGGGACACCCACCACATCTGGACAACATGCACCCTGATGTTAAGGTAGTGTACATTCCACCTAACACTACCTCTGTCATCCAACACATGGCTCAAGGTGCTATTGCTGCCTTTAAAGCGTATTATTTACGTACGACCTTCGCTCAGGCTGTCGTTGCTACTGAAGGTGAGAAAACGCTCAGAGAGTTTTGGAAGGAGTACAACGTTTTGGCATGTTTAAAGAACATAAGTGCATCATGGGATCAGGTTACAAAACATTGCATGAATGGAATATGGAAGAAAGTCCTGAAAAGATATGTGAACAGTTTTAGAGGATTTAATGAAACTGAAGTTATTTAGGATATAGGTAACAAGATAGTGGAGTTAGGTAGACAGCTACAGTTAGAAATTAATAATGAAGATGTTGAACAGTTGGTTGAAAGTGTAGCAGAAGAGCTGGAAGCACACAAAGATGCAGAGGAAGAAGCCATTCTAAATGTAGAAGAAGGACCTGCACCCCCACAAAAAGTTTTCAGTGAAGCAAATGGCAGAGACATTTGCTACAATTAATAAAGGAATGCAAACGTTTGATGGCATGGATCAAAATTATGAGCGTTATGCCAAAGTTGACAGAATGATCCAAGATGCACTTGCTTGCTACAGAGAAATTTATAATGAAAAGAAAAAGCAAACTGTGCAGTCTAAATTGGACATCTATTTTAAGAAGTCCCCCAGTGCTGTCTCCTCAAGCCCCACCAGTAATGCCTATTCAAATCCCTCAAGATGATCCAATACCTTCAACCAGCAAGTTTCCACAGTACATAAACCTGTCTGAAGAAAGCGACATTGATGACCCGCCCAGCCCTGTCTCCTCTGCTTCATCCAATTAATATAGTCTCCATGTATACCTGTGAATAGAAAATTATGGGGACCCCGTGTGCATTCAGCTGACTACATTAAAGCTAAGTGCTCAGCCACACTGTGTCCATTCCTCATTATTTATTACTTTTACTGTACTGTATATGTATATATACAGATAGAACCCGACTTACGACGGGGTTAGAGACCCAAATCCAGGTCGTAAGTCCGACATAGATAAATTTTTTTTTTTTTTTTAAATAAATAATCGACTGTACAATGAAATACAGTACAATAAACGTAATGAATAATGAGGAATGGATACAGTACAGTGAAAGTAATAAATAATAAGGAATGGTTACAATGTGAATGAGCACTTACCTTTAATGTAGTCAGCTGAATGCACATGGGGCCCCCATAATTTTCTAATTATACATGGAGACTACATTAACTGGAAACGTTTCGGTATAGAAAATGCGTATCATTTGAAAAAAAAAATTAATAAAAAATCTGCGGCAGTCGTAAGTCCCGACGGTCGTAAGTCGTAGCAGTCGTGGTGTATATATATATATATATATATATATATATATATATATATATATATATATATATATATATATATATATATATATATATATATATATATATATATATATATATATATATATATATATATATATATATATATATATATATATATATATATATATATATATATATATATATATATATATATATATATATATATATATATATATATATATATATATATATATATATATATATATATATATATATATATATATATATATATATATATATAGTGACCCCTCGTTTAACGAACACCTTGGTTAACGTAATTTCGATTAACGAACTGCCTTCCATAAGGATCTTCAATTCGGTTAACGAAAAAAAATTCGGTTAACGAAGTTCTTACGAACCGACCTCAACATGTTTTCGCTTGCACTGACCGGGCAACCAGCTTTAGTATCAGTCCGCCAATACATTAATCAGTTCTAGGGCTTAAATTCCTTACTATTTTAGTAAATATCAAGAAGTTTATACTATTCAATAATTTTAAAAGTTTAATATTCAATTTTTTAGTCATTTTAACAATTATTGAACATAATTGAAGGTAAAGTGACTAGTTTAATGCGCGGCAT